GTGTGTGAGAGAGTGTTTATGAGCTGCAGTGTGTGTGAGAGAGGGTTTATGTGCTGTTGCAGTGTGTGTGTGAGTTTATGTGCTGCAGTGTGTGTGAGAGAGTGTTTATGAGCTGCAGTGTGTGTGAGAGAGGGTTTATGTGCTGTTGCAGTGTGTGTGTGAGTTTATGTGCTGCAGTGTGTGTGAGAGAGTGTTTATGAGCTGCAGTGTGTGTGAGAGAGGGTTTATGTGCTGTTGCAGTGTGTGTGTGAGTTTATGTGCTGCAGTGTGTGTGAGAGAGTGTTTATGAGCTGCAGTGTGTGTGAGAGAGGGTTTATGTGCTGTTGCAGTGTGTGTGTGAGTTTATGTGCTGCAGTGTGTGTGAGAGAGTGTTTATGAGCTGCAGTGTGTGTGAGAGAGGGTTTATGTGCTGTTGCAGTGTGTGTGTGAGTTTATGTGCTGCAGTGTGTGTGAGAGAGTGTTTATGAGCTGCAGTGTGTGTGAGAGAGGGTTTATGTGCTGTTGCAGTGTGTGTGTGAGTTTATGTGCTGCAGTGTGTGTGAGAGAGTGTTTATGAGCTGCAGTGTGTGTGAGAGAGGGTTTATGTGCTGTTGCAGTGTGTGTGTGAGTTTATGTGCTGCAGTGTGTGTGAGAGAGTGTTTATGAGCTGCAGTGTGTGTGAGAGAGGGTTTATGTGCTGTTGCAGTGTGTGTGTGAGTTTATGTGCTGCAGTGTGTGTGAGAGAGTGTTTATGAGCTGCAGTGTGTGTGAGAGAGGGTTTATGTGCTGTTGCAGTGTGTGTGTGAGTTTATGTGCTGCAGTGTGTGTGAGAGAGTGTTTATGAGCTGCAGTGTGTGTGAGAGAGGGTTTATGTGCTGTTGCAGTGTGTGTGTGAGTTTATGTGCTGCAGTGTGTGTGAGAGAGTGTTTATGAGCTGCAGTGTGTGTGAGAGAGGGTTTATGTGCTGTTGCAGTGTGTGTGTGAGTTTATGTGCTGCAGTGTGTGTGAGAGAGTGTTTATGAGCTGCAGTGTGTGTGAGAGAGGGTTTATGTGCTGTTGCAGTGTGTGTGTGAGTTTATGTGCTGCAGTGTGTGTGAGAGAGTGTTTATGAGCTGCAGTGTGTGTGAGAGAGGGTTTATGTGCTGTTGCAGTGTGTGTGTGAGTTTATGTGCTGCAGTGTGTGTGAGAGAGTGTTTATGAGCTGCAGTGTGTGTGAGAGAGGGTTTATGTGCTGTTGCAGTGTGTGTGTGAGTTTATGTGCTGCAGTGTGTGTGAGAGAGTGTTTATGAGCTGCAGTGTGTGTGAGAGAGGGTTTATGTGCTGTTGCAGTGTGTGTGTGAGTTTATGTGCTGCAGTGTGTGTGAGAGAGTGTTTATGAGCTGCAGTGTGTGTGAGAGAGGGTTTATGTGCTGTTGCAGTGTGTGTGTGAGTTTATGTGCTGCAGTGTGTGTGAGAGAGTGTTTATGAGCTGCAGTGTGTGTGAGAGAGGGTTTATGTGCTGTTGCAGTGTGTGTGTGAGTTTATGTGCTGCAGTGTGTGTGAGAGAGTGTTTATGAGCTGCAGTGTGTGTGAGAGAGGGTTTATGTGCTGTTGCAGTGTGTGTGTGAGTTTATGTGCTGCAGTGTGTGTGAGAGAGTGTTTATGAGCTGCAGTGTGTGTGAGAGAGGGTTTATGTGCTGTTGCAGTGTGTGTGTGAGTTTATGTGCTGCAGTGTGTGTGAGAGAGTGTTTATGAGCTGCAGTGTGTGTGAGAGAGGGTTTATGTGCTGTTGCAGTGTGTGTGTGAGTTTATGTGCTGCAGTGTGTGTGAGAGAGTGTTTATGAGCTGCAGTGTGTGTGAGAGAGGGTTTATGTGCTGTTGCAGTGTGTGTGTGAGTTTATGTGCTGCAGTGTGTGTGAGAGAGTGTTTATGAGCTGCAGTGTGTGTGAGAGAGGGTTTATGTGCTGTTGCAGTGTGTGTGTGAGTTTATGTGCTGCAGTGTGTGTGAGAGAGTGTTTATGAGCTGCAGTGTGTGTGAGAGAGTGTTTATGAGCTGCAGTGTGTGTGAGAGAGTGTTTATGTGCTGCTGCAGTGTGTGAGTGTTTATGTGCTGCACTGTGTGTGTGTTTATGTGCTGCAGTGTGTGTGTGTGTGTGCATGAGTGTGTGAGAGTGTATATGTGCTGTACTGTGTGTGTGATAAAACAATAAAAACTAAGTGTATGATTTTTTAAAACTGAAATATAGCTGAACTTTAAATTTTAGTTAGGCGTAAATATGACTGTAAATGTAATGAAATACTGATAAAGATAATAAAAGAAACTTACCTCCGTTTGAATAAAAGTTGAAAGTAGTCATAAGATTTATAGAATTGCAAAAAAATAAAAATAATAAAAAAATGTATGTAATGTCAGAAATATAAATTCATTATTTTAAATCCAGATAATAGCACAGTGCAGAAAAAAAGACAAATTCTGCATTTTCTTAGAAAACCTTTTAGAGTAAAAACAACCACAAAAAAGCTACATAGTAAAAACATGATTTTTTTGTTTAAATTATATGCAATTGATAACTGACATTTAAATTAATTACAAAACTCTGGTTGAATTCACTTTTCATTCTAAAGTGGTCATGCCGGGAGACATTCAAAATAGTATTTTGCATGACAGCAACACTTTGCATTCTGCTATTAACATCAGAGGTGAATCTCAACAGTTTGCTGAGAATATCTCTCTGTATTTCTGCAGCACACTGTGAATGGAGACGATGGATCGATGCTTTGACTGCGGCACCTGTGACCATTTCAGTGAAAAGCACTGTACATTTACATTTAGCAGACGCTTTTATCCAAAGCGACTTACAAATGAGGACAATACTCACTGTATCTAGTGCAGGATATATATATATATATAAAAATTACAGTAAAGATTGTTGAACTATGGCTGAACTATTAATTTTGAATTAGGCATAAATATAACTGTAAATATAAAGAAATAAATATAGACACATCACATTTCCCCTGGAAAAATATCCATTAGGTTTGATGGATAAACTATGATCTAACATAAAATTACCAGCATAACATGAGCATAAAATTGTAAGAACAAAAGTCAATCATCTCAACTAGTTATTACCCAACAAGCCTACACAAATCAGGGTTTTAAATGACTTGTTTTTTTTAAATCAGTGTTGCAATAATTCACATTACGAACTACAAACCTCACATAAAATGCATGTCAAATGAAACGGCTCATATTATGTACTGAATTGGAAACTACTGAGCAGGCGTATCAATATTTTCTGCATGTTAAGCTGCTTTTGACCTTTTGTTGAATAAGAACACAAGTTTGACTTCATTTTCAAGCTCTATTTTGTTTCCTATTCATGGAAACCAGCATGCAAGATGATCGTTGGGTAATAATTGGGTTTTATTTCCATAAAGAGTTGAATGAGATAACAGCATGATTAATAAGAGCTGCCGACGCAAGAGAACACGCTCACAGCAAAGCATTCACAGTCATTCTCTGATAAGAATTTCTTTAAAATCTTTATTCCATTACATGTGTTACATTCAATATCCAATGTTTGTTTGGACACATATATGATGGCATGAATACAAACAAGTGTTCATCTGTTGTGCCGTGCCTAATCAATAGTATAAGATGAGTGAGCAGAACTTCACACCTGCGTATATTTACATAGAAAGTCAAACTTTATACAAAGTCCATGCCGTCAATATTTACACACGGAAAAAGAGACGCCTCTGAGCAACCGGCCTTTACAGTTTGTTCTTACAAAAGAAACGCAGCGTTAACAGGGAGCTTCTGACATGACGTGTGAATCTCTTCCAGAATTATTATCAGCAATATCCGGCTCTGTGTTTGGGTGACGTCTGCATTTGAAGGCCTTTTATAATGGAAAACTGAAATAAATAAACACAGGCCATCCTGAATGCAGATGGAAACAGGAATATTTTACATCGGTTATTCCTGTAGTGCTTTCTATACGGAGTCAAAACAGTGAATTCAGTCTGAGTTGATGATGGACATGGTGAATAAATTAAATGTGGCCAATGAGAAAGTGTCAGAAACACTCAATAAAAGAATAGGAATAAATGATAAGCCCTTACGTCTTTCGACTGAAATGCATTACGAGTCGAAGTAAAGTAGCATCATGGTAAGGATCTGTGTGCTGAAAATCCCTACTTTTCCTGCTATTAGCATTTTAAACCATCAAAATGCAAACATGAGACGTGAACGAGCATATCTCTGTTTCTCAGTCGTTCCTCATCATCTGCAGACGGAAACAACGTTCAGCGCAGACTGAACTACGTGATGAAGAGTGATACGCATGAGCTGAAGAGGCGACTGGCATCAGATCATCAGTGTTCATTTTCATAGTGCTTTAGAGGAAATGGCTTCATGTGAGGACGTTCCTTCAAATTATAAACATGATGAAGTAAAATGTCATTCATTGTGAAGTACAGTAGCAGGGTGAGTCTCACCAAACCGCTCAATCAGTCATATTTCACTCCAATACGAAAATTACAAGAACAAAAAAATTAGCTTTGCATGAAGAAAATAAAGCCTGTTTTAAAGAGTTTAAGATTGATATTAATTGACGTTCTCATAAATGCAATGCAATGGGCAAAAAATAATCATGTATTAATTACATTTTTAAGTATTTATACATCATGGTGGTACTTGTTGTACTGCCTATTAATTACACCAATGTACTACAGTATTTTTATGTTATTATAATAATGGAAATCACATTTGAGGATAATGAAAATTATTCTTTAAAAAATTATTATTATTCATTATAAATAAAAAATGCATGTATTGACAATTTGGGGAGGAAATGTGCTGAAATGCCATGAAAATAATGTCATAAAATAAAAAAGGCTTAATTTTCTTCATGCAAAATATAGAAATATGTTTTGCACAACCATACATACATATACATATATATATATATATATATATATATATTTGTGTGCATTTGTTTATTGTGGGGTGAAATGTCCAGTTGACAGGCTTTTACGAGATTCAAAGGAGACATAAATGCTCAGTTTTTAGATCTGGATGATAATCATCCTGTCAGGTGGGCACTGATAGTGTTCAGGTTGAGTTGAGCGAGTATTTGGCCAAATCGACATTTAAAAAAAAAAGTAATTCATCCAAAACCAACTCCACGGTGCGGTTGAAATCCACCTTGGTTTGCGTTAGTCTGCGTGTTCGTTTACGGGTTGAGGCTCGTCTCACCGACCTCCTGGAAGAGCGAGGTGTAAAACTCGGGCTCTAGCTGTTTGTTACGATAACGGTTCACGATTTCTGCGATTTTCTGTTTCCGCCGCACGTGTGGCGGGCTGTAAGAGTCGCTCTCGAGACGCTTCCTCCGACACGCGTTTATTACAGTCTGACGCACCAGGAATCCTGGAGAGAGTAAGAGAATGACAAATTCATCACTGCAGACTTCATTTACACACACACACGCGCACACACACGCACGCACACTCGCGCTCGCACACACCCACACACACAGTCTCACACACACACACACAGTCTCACACACACACACACACACACACACACACACACACACACACACACACACACACACACTCTCTCTCACACCCTCTCTCACACACTCTCTCACACACTCTCTCACACACTCACTCACACACTCACTCACACACACACACTCTCTCACTCTCTCTCACACACTCTCTCACACACACTCACTCACACACTCACTCACACACTGTCTCACTCACACACACACACTCTCACACACACACACACTCTCTCTCTCACACACACACACACACACACACACACTCTCACACACACTCTCACACACACACACACTCTCACACACTCTCACACACACACACACACACTCTCACACAAACACATACCCAGTGATCTCCTGCTGACCACCATGTTGTCCACCAGAGGAATGACCATGTTGAATTTGCCCATTGCGCCGTGCAGTTTGATCCGAAACAGGCCGGTCTTCAGCGGATGGATGAATATTATGGGAAAGTCCTTCTCTGAGGAGCTGGACCTGAGAGAGAACAGGTGTGAGGGTGAATGAGATCAATTCACGGACTGGAATCAGTTTTTCAAACGGTTTGTTACCTGGAAGTGCTGCTGTTGACGGCCGTCTCCACGCCGGTGCTCGTCTCCGCCAGTAACTCCGACACGGGAAAGTTCTCTGAGAGAAACAGGACAAATCTGATGTAGGATGTATTTGGAAACAATTTGAAAATCAAGGAATTTTATGTATGTGGAAAATTTTACCTATGTCATCGTATCGCTCAACCCACACGACCAACACTTTGGTGTCCGGTCCTAACGGTGGTATCGTCCTGCCAGACGGCAACTTCCTGCTTTTCACTGTCGGGGACTGAGCGCAAGAATAAACATTATACACTAGCGGTCAAAAACTTGGAAGAAGTCTCTTCTGCTCACCAAGGCTGCATTGATTTGATCAGAAATACAGTAAAAATCTGTGAAATATTATTGCAATTTAAAACAGCTGTTTTCTATGTGAATATCTGTTAAAATGTAATTTATTTCTGTGATCAAAGCTGTATTTTCAGCATCATTCCTCCAGTCTTCAGTGTCACATGATCTTCAGAAATCAGTATAATATACTGATTTGCTGCTCAAGAAACATTTCTGATTATTATCAATGCTGAAAACAGTTGTGCTGCACAATATTTTTGTGGAAACCGTGATACACTAAGCATTCAAAAGTTTTTAAAATTTTAATTAAAAAAAAAAAAACTTTCAAAACTATTACTATACTTTTATTCATTAAGGATGCATTAAATTGACCAAAAGTGACAATAAAGCCATTTATGTTACAAAAGATTTATATCTCAAATAAATGCTGTTCTTTTGAACTTTCTATTCATCTGTGAATCCTGAAAAATAAAACATATCACGGTTTCCACAAAAATATTGTGCAGCACAACTGTTCTCAACATTGATAATAATCAGAAATGTTTCTCGAGCAGCAGATCAGCATATTATACTGATTTCTGAAGATCATGTGATACTGAAGACTGGAGGAATGATGCTGAACACAGCTATTTAAAATTGTAATATTTAACTTTTTTTTTACCGTTTTTCATCAAATAAATGCAGCCTTGGTGAGCAGAAGAGACTTCTTTTTAAAAATATAATTAAGATCTTTTAATTCCAAACTATATATACTCTCTCACTCTCTCTACGTATGTACATGTGCATATGTGTATGTATGAGAACAGCAGTCAAGGACAAATGTGTAACACTGAGGCAAACAGTTGCAATGGGAGAAGATGTGTGTTCGCTGACAGGTGTAATTAGTGACAGACCAATACACTGGCAGGTTAAACTGCCTCAGAACTGCAGTGATCTGAAAGCTGAGGGAGTTACTCGTTGTGCGGGTCCCATGTTGTCGGAGTGGTTGGGGAAGAGCTCCAGCGTCAGGTTGGGCTGCTTCAGTAAACTGGGTAACAGCTCCAACTGAGAGTCCGAGTCTGCCGTCGGGAAGCTGTGCTCTGATGACTCGGCTACGGTAGGAGTGAAAAGAACATTTGTCATATTTAATAAATCAATATGAATTCATTAAACGGGTTAAATGCATTAAACTAATGGAGCAATCAATACTCCATTAATAGTCCTCTGCAGTGTGTTAGAAAGGACGCTTGATGCCTCAAATTCACGTTTCTGTTCAGCCACAAATTTAATAAAACCTAAAAGTGTTTGAATACAGAAGCCAATCCAAAAGCATGCAGAAACTGAACAGAGAGAGTGTTTTACCGGACGAGTCGCCGAGGGACGGCACGACAAAGGCGATTTCTGTCAGAGCGTCTGCGTAATAGAGCACCCGCTTCTCTCCGTTAAACACACCGCCGCCAGTGTCGCCCAGAGTCTCTGAATCATCTGCACACACACACACACACGACACTGCATCCGCACTCACATTACTACACGCTATGATGAATCACTGTGTGGATCAAACACAGTCAGCTAGTGTTTCATCTTTATAGTCGGATCATGAGAAGACTGATAAAAGTCTGTATGTCTTCAGATAATCATGCTGACTTATGTTTGTTGTATATTGTAATGATTATATTTATAAAGATGAAGGACAAATGTTTTCTTGTCATCTTATTTTTTAACATGACAAAACTGTGCTAATCTGTTAAATTAGCCAATCTGATAAGTGCTCTACTTAAAATAAACCAGTTATTATTAACTAAAGCTATTATAAAATCATCTTTTTTATTCTAATCAAGCTGTAATCAACTAAAATATAAATATTAGATAATGTTTTTAAATGAAAATGGGAAATGCTGCCTTGGCAACTAACTGAAATAAAATAAGTCTAAATGGTCCTAAGTACTAAAATTACTACAACTAAAATAAAAATGAATTAAAAGAAAAGAAAAAAGCACATAATGTGTGTAATTAATACTAAATGAACACTTAAATAAACACATCAGAAGTCTACTGTTTATTCTCATTAGAAATGTTGCCTTGGTGACTAAATTAAATAAAATAAGTTGGAAGTTGAAGTACTAAAAAAAAAAAAAGTATTAAAGAGAAAAAAAAAAAAAAAAAAAGAAAAAAGAAAATAAAAAAAAAAAAAAAAAAAAAAA